GCCGAGCCGCTGCTCCGGGGCTCCGAGCGGCTGCGGAGCTCCGAGCCCGGCGGGGGAAAGGGCTGGCTTCATCCCGACAGCTTTGCAAACTCCCAACGCGCCTGTTAATTAAGCGCTGCTTCATTTGCAGTGCAGGCTGGGAGGGCAGGAGGGCCTGGAGCGGGACAGAAATCCCCTCTCCCTGCGGAGGAACCCTCCGGGGACCGGGGCCCTGGAGCAGCCGCAGCCCCCCGGGCTGGCTCGGGCAGGAGGAGCTGGGGGCGCGCTCCGAGAGCCAGCCGTGCGTGCTTTGAGCCCGTGATGCTCGTGTTGGCATCTCCCTGCGGTAGCCTGTCCCTGGAGCAGGCGATGGGGTGTGCGGGCTCCGGGGGGCCTGCGGGGCCGGGATGTCGCCCCCCGGGACGGGGACACGGCAGGGTGAGGAGCTTTCGAAATCAAAAAGAAGCCAATCCGCACGTCCCGATGAGCGCTTCCTGTTGGGATTAGTGGGGCTGCCGGGCATGTATGTGCTTTTCTTCAGGAAATACCTTCGGAAAGCCCCGCTGGGGTCTCCAGGGCAACCGGCGCCTGCGGCTCCGCGCCCCCCGCCCGCATTGTCCCCGTGCCGCTTTGTTGGCCCCTTTATTGCCACCGTCACCATCGCCCTGGCCAGCACAGCCCGTGGCTTTTGCCGCTTGCAGGGTGCAGCCCCGGCTCCCCGCTGTGTGTGCCCAGCCTGGGGGGCATGGCCAGCACGGAGAGAGGGGGGCACGGTGAACAGCACAGCTCCTGTCCGCAGGGCTGCCCCACGTCCCTGTCCCTGCTGTCCCCGCCTGGGAACAGCCCCGGGGGAGCCGGGGACACTTCCAGGCGTTTGGTGATGCTCTCTAAGCTGGCTGTGCTCAGCTCCGCTCTCGGTTCCATGTCAAAGCTGGAATCCAGCAATAAACCCGCGGTGTCTGCCGTGGCACCGTGCGGCTTCTGCGCTGCTCACGGAGCCACCACGGGCTGCAGCTGCCCCTTGCCTCCCTGGGAACCCCATGGCCATGAGCCCTCCTGTCCCCTGCCATGGGACAAGGCCCGTGGGGCTGTTCCTGTGCTCTCACCCTGTCACCCTGTGTGCTGAAAGGGGCTGTGACCAGTCCCACAGCGCCCAGCTGAGCTGAGGACTCCGCTAACCGACCTTTGAGCGGTGCCCGGAGCACCCAGAGCCTCGGGGATGAGAGCCAAGCCTTCTTCTGGCTGATTAACCTTTGGAGAGGTGGCCCGTGTGGGTCTGGCTCGCCCATGGGAGCAGCCAGCCAGGAGGCTCTGCTGTGGGGCTGGAGGAGGGCGCTGGAAGCTTTGGAAAGGAGTCTGGCCCCCCTCCCAAGGCTCTGAAGAGGCAGAAGCACTTGCACAGCATACCCAAGGACTTGTGGCCATTGGGAAGGACCCTCCTGAACCTGGAATACTGCTTCTCAAGCCCAGGCTGGGCTGCCCTGAAATTTCCCCTCCACCGAAGACCTTTTCCACCCCCAGGCTACCTCCTCACATTCCAGGGGTGCAGCTGCGGGGTGCTGGGGAGCCCTGCGGGGTTTTCCTGTTCCATAGGGAAGTTTGCTGATGTGTGGGAAGGGGCAGAGCTGGGAGCCAGGTTAGAGCAGACATGGCTGGCTCGGGTTTTCAGGGCTGTTTGTTGCCCGCTGACACTGCTGTGTGTGAGGAGGCAGTCGGGACAGGCAGGAGGATGTGGCGTTACCCAGACCCAGCGTGTTCAGATGGACAGGATGGGATGTCACTGCTGCTTTGTGAGCCTTTGGAGATGCCTGTGACTAATCACTTGAAACACAAATCAGAGCTGTGAGAAGTGCCCATCCTGTGGGAGAAAATCAAGGGAAAACAGGATTGCAAAGCAAGACCCTTCCCCACCACCAGAGGAACTCCCATTAGTCTTGCCCTTCCACATTAAAAAGTTTTGTAACCTCTCATGGATGAACTGGAGCCCTGGCGTTGGTATTGCAGCAACTGAGGAAAGAGAATTCTTCCCCATCCCACTGTTTTCCTTCAAGTGCTGAGCAAAAGAAAGAGCAGAAACTCTGGAGCTGCTCATGAATGTTTTTCCCATGAAGCTTCTCATTATTCCAAGGCAAAGAAAAGTGGCCAGAGAGTGAAGTGCAGGTCACAGTGCGGTGAAGCAGAGTTCTGGAGAGCCAAGGTTTCATTTTTGGCCGTACAGAGTGGCTGCTGGGTGCAGGGAGGAGCAGGGAGGAGCGAGGCCTCGCTGCCTGTCCTGGCCCTGTGCTGCCTGCACACCCTGGCTGCTCTCTGGGGCGTTCTGTGCCTGCAGAGACCCTGTGCCACTCTGTAGCCACTGGCCCAGGGTGAGCTGCTCTGTGCTGTTCAGGGCTCGTGCAGGAGGAGGAGAAGAGGTTGTTCTTGTCTGGCTCATTGGGCACCCAGAAATCCTGGGGGACTCAGCCCTCGACCTACGGATCAGCTGAAACTTGAACATCTCCTGGCTGTTTCTGCCGAGTTTAATGGGATTTTTCCAGCCCAGTCTCTGGTCCCTGAGAGCAGCATCTGCAGCAGTGCCCTGTGCCCCTTCGTGCTGTTCCCACAGCATCCTGATGGCATCCAGCTGGCCAAGAACAACCGGACACTCGTTATCAGGGAGGAGACAGAGGTCAAGGGGTGCCTGAAGATCTGGGCTCTGGAGCCATGCCCACCAGCCTGTAGGGCACAGTCTAGGATGAAGATCACACTGTGATCACCACATCATCACAGGGAGCCTCTGCAGAGCTGTAGCAGCCTGGACCCTTCCTTGGGTTGTGGAATTTGAAGAGGTGATTTGAAACCCAGCATCTTCCCCAAGCCTGGGAGCAGGAAAGCTGCTCATGCACCACCCACCGTGGAGGGCAGGACTTGAGGACAGAGCCCTGGACACTTCAGGGCTGGGAGAGATGAGATCATGTCACAGCAGGATGGAGAGAAGGGATCTTTGTGCTGCTCACACAAGTGTCACCTCGGGGAGCTCGGCTCCCCTGCGTGGGAACGCTGCGGATGGGAACGCCGTGGCCAGCACCTGTGTGGCCAGAGCTCCCTGGGCTGACCTCGCTCCCTGCCTGCTGTCCTGCCTCAGCTCAGCCCCAGCCCCTGCCCTTTCATCCCTGCAGCGCCGTGCTCTAACCAGGGTGGGGGTCCTGGTGGCATGGGGGCCCTGGCCTGCTTTGCTGGCTGCCCGCTTGTGGTGGTGAGGATCCTGAGACCCCTGTGAGGTGGCAGAGCCGTGCAGGGATTGGGGATGCTTCTGGGAGAGGCTGATCCTGCCATACAGCAGCACTGAGCTGTCACAGGTTATCTGTTTCTCCCCCGTCCTGCCACCCTTGCCCTGTCACGCTCCATAAGAGCCGAGGAGGGTGAGGCATGGAGCAGGTGCTGCTGTGGAGGGAAGCACTTGGTGTTGCTTGGGGTGCTCGCAGCCTCTGCCTCTGCCTCTGCTGTGCCCTGCTGCTGCCGCAGGCTCCATCCCCGGGGTGCTGGGGTCCCCGGTGCCGCAGCGGGAGCATCCCAGCAGCGCATGTTGCCTCATTAACCAGGCCACAGCAGCAGCAGCAGCAGCAGCAGCAGCAGCAGCAGCATGGTTTTTCTCTCCTTTTCTCCTTTTTTTTCTCTTCTTCTCTCCCCTAACTCCTCCAGCTCTGGCCAAAGCAAAAATTGAAGTGGAGTCGTACTCAGCCCACCCCGGTGAGCTGCTCCAGCTGCGCTGCCGGCTGCGGGACGACGTCCAGAGCATCAACTGGGTGCGCGATGGCATCCAGCTGGCCGAGAACAACCGCACACGCATCACTGGGGACGAGGTAGAGGTCAGGGACGTGGTGCCCGAGGACTCGGGGCTCTACGCCTGCATGACCAACAGCCCCTCGGGCAGCGAGACCACCTACTTCTCTGTCAACATCTCAGGTTCGTAGCGGCCGTAGGGAAGGGGCAGCCGCGGGGCCGGGCTGTGAAACCAGGAGCAGTCTGCCTCTGCACAGCCCTGTACACATCTGTACACATCTGTACACATCTGTACACTTCTGCACACCTCTGTACACATCTGTACACTTCTCTACACTTCTCTACACTCCTGCACACCCCTGCACACACACTGGCCACACACGCGGTGAGTTTGGGGCCCGCCTGCAGCTTGCAGCTGCCCAGAGGAGTTTCTAGGGTGCTGCTGTGCCCAGAGGAGTTTCCAGGGTGCTGCTGTGCCCAGAGGAGTTTCCAGGGCGCTGCTGTGGATTCTTTGCCGCTGCAGTGCAGGGAGAAGCAGCCGGAATTCCTCTCCCGTTGATCTGAGGGGGCAGGGGGCTGCAGGAGGGGCACAGGCTGGGTGGGAGCCGTGGCCAGCATCGCTGTTGATGGAGTGTAAGGCTGGAGAGGGAGGAAGGCTCGAGGTGGGGACATGTCTGTGCTCATGGGGTCTTCACTGCCACCCCGAGGGTGTTGGTGGCACCGGACACGGGGAGAGGAGCTCTCATCTGTGACAGCGCGTCTCTTCACGATGCCCGAGGCTGCAGGCACGGGATGCTGGGCTCTGCCAGCCCTGGCTGTGCTGGGGATTGTGCAGAGCATTTCCCTGCCCACGTTCCTGCTGGGCATCAGCACCGCCCTGCCCTCCTGCCTCACTGGACACAGCCCCCAGCAGCCACCCCTGGCGTTCCAGGCCTCGCCAGCCACAGGAGAGCACTCCCAGACACTCAGCAGGGCCGGTGATTCTCTTGCAGACGCTCTCCCCTCGGCAGAGGATGATGACGATGAAGATGATTCCTCGTCGGAGGAAAAGGAGGCGGATAACACCAAGCCGAACCGTACGTGCGAGCTGCCTTTGCCCACGGCGCTGCCCCGTGGCCAGGCAGGGGTGGGCTGGGCACCCGTGAGCATCAGGGTGGGGCAGGAGCCCAGGGCACCTGGCAGTGGCAGGGGTGCAGTGGGGAGAGCAGGTCTGGGTGCAGGGGGTGCAGCAGCTGGGTCAGAGCACGGGGTTTGCTGGGTTGGGGTCACACTGAGCATCCACCCCACGCAGAAAGGGCTGCTGTGACTCGTGGGCAATGCCCCGTGTCCCAGCCCTGTCCCAGGATCCCTCCCTGCTTTAGCCAGGCTTGGCTGCTGGCTTCTGATTCCTGCCCCAGCCCTGCTCTGGGAACCCTTGGGGTTACTCCAGGAGCAGGAGGCTGCTGGGTTTGGCAGTGCTGAGCCCTCCTTCTGCTCCCCAGAGGCCATCGCTCCCTACTGGACCTATCCCGAGAAGATGGAGAAGAAGCTCCACGCCGTCCCCGCTGCCAAAACAGTGAAATTCAAGTGTCCATCGAGCGGGACACCCAACCCCACACTGCGCTGGCTGAAGAATGGCAAAGAGTTCAAACCTGACCACCGCATCGGGGGCTACAAGGTACGGGGCTGGGGAGCAGCCCCGGGCTCTCTGCACCTCCAGGGCTGGGGAGCAGCCCCTGGCTCTCTGCACCTCCAGGGCTGGGGAGCAGCCCCGGGCTCTGTGCACCTCCAGGGCTGGGGAGCAGCCCCGGGCTCTGTGCACCTCCAGGGCTGGGGAGCAGCCCTGGCTCTGTGCACCTCCAGGGCTGGGGAGCAGCCCCTGGCTCTGTGCACCTCCAGGGCTGGGGAGCAGCCCCTGGCTCTGTGCACCTCCAGGGCTGGGGAGCAGCCCCGGGCTCTGTGCACCTCCAGGGCTGGGGAGCAGCCCCTGGCTCTCTGCACCTCCAGGGCTGGGGGCTCCTGCGGGGGGAGGACTGGGAAGGGGCTCCAGAGGCACCAAGGCCCATCCAGTCCAGCCCAGCAGGGGCAGATGGGCCCCTCTGACATTGCTGTTTGGGAGTCAACCTAGGGCAGTGAGCTGCTTCTGGGTCATGTTTGTACCAGCTCAGCCCTGGGGGAGGGGGCTTGTGCTGCAGCCAGCCTGGCTCCACACCTCCACCTAATCCCCCAGGCAAGGAGCGGGGTCTGGGCATCCCCAGGGGCCCTGGGCTGCAGGAGCCACTCTGCTCCCAGCAGTGTTTGGTGGGGGCTGCTCCAGCACATGGGGTACTCCAGCCTGTATTTGGGGGCCACACTGGCTCCCTGAGCTGGGGAGGAGTTTGGTGCTGCTTTCCTAGTGCCCACAGCACAGCCAGGTTGCAGATGCCACTGGGTGGGATGGCAGCTTGGCTTTCCCCTCCTCACAGCTCCAGGGCAGCATCCTTGAGCTCCTTTTCTCCCCAAGGGAGGGGCTGGCCAGAGCTGCTGTCCTGCTGGCAGCAGCTCCAGCTACGAGGCAGCACTGTCCCCTTTTGGCATCTCTCGGTGTCAGGAGCAGGGCTGCAGCCTGCCTGGGGCTCAGAGCCCTCCGTGTCTCCCAGGCTGGGAGCCCTGAACCAGCCCGGCTGGGGGGCTGTGGGGCCACCATCACCACTGAGTCACATGCCACGTGTCACAGGCAGCTCCAGCCGTGGCCCTGCATGCCAGGGCTCCTGCCAGGGCTCAGGGGCAGCAGCAGGGATCCATGTCACAACTTCCAGCTCTGTGTCCTGGGGAGGGACACAGGCTCACCCAGGACGTGGGCTCAGGGGTGGGGAGGAGAGGGGCTGCTGGCAGCACTGTGGCTGCTGGTGACAGCACAGGGCCCTGGGTAGCCAGTGGGGCTGAAATGCAGGACTGTGGAAATAACCAGTTTGCAGCTGGGAGGGAGGAATGTGATCATGAGCAGGGCTCCAGGAGAGCTTGCCATGAGGAGCCCCAGCTGGAGCCAGCAGTGGCAGGGCTGGCTTTTGGAGAGCCTCCCGGTGCCCCGTGGCCAGAGGGACCTGGGCTGTGCTCTCAGCAGAGCCACTGAGGCTCTCCCAGAGGAGCTGCACTGGGGCAGCAGCACAGGGCCAGCTGTCCGTGGGGAGCGCTGAGCCCCAGGCTCCTGCAGGAGGAACAATGCTGGTCTGTTCCCTCCACACACGTGGGCCAGCAGAGAGGGGTGTCCCCACGCCGCGGGGGAGCTGGCAACATCTGCTGCTCGCCACAGTTGGCTCCGTGGCCCGGCCGTCCTGGGACAGCTGGCAGCAATTACAGCCCCTCTGCAGGGAAGGAGAAAGGTGACCTCAAAGAGAGATTTACGTGCTGCCCGTGCCAGGGGTCAAACCAGATCTGACGTGAGCGGGACCTGGGGGCTCGCACATAACCAGCTCTATCCTCCCCGTGCCCCCAGGTCCGCCAGGCGACCTGGAGCATCATCATGGACTCGGTGGTGCCGTCCGATAAGGGCAACTACACCTGCATTGTGGAGAACAAATACGGCAGCATCAACCACACCTACCAGCTGGATGTCGTGGGTGAGCAGCACGGCGCTGGGGCTCCTCTGTCCCCCTCTGCCTCCCCAGGCAGGAATGGGTGCTGGCTTTTGCTCCCAGGGAAGGGGCTCACCCCCCGGCCCTGCCCAGTGTGCAGCATGGCGGGCAGCAGCCAGCCAGGTGGAAAGTTCACCCCACCCTGTCCTGGGGATTTTTAATTGTGGTGAAGATAATTTCATAGACCAGACAGAAACTTTTTCTAATCGCCTTATTAGCCATAATTCCCAGCTGGGAAGGCTGGTCTGAGCAGTTCCACATGTGGAGCTGCTCTAAATGCCAGTAAATGAACCATTAAAAATGTGATTTAATTTGATTACACTGAGCAAACTGAAGGGAACAGTCAGCGAGGTGAACAAAGGGGTTTGTTAATGCTGACTCACCAGAGTGGCAGCCACTTTGTTAACAGCCAGGGCCCTCCATAGGTTTGTTTGACCCCTGGCCCTACCCAATAGGTGCTGATGTCCCTGTCCCCACATCGGGGTTCCTCCTGTCCCCCATCCTCGATGCCCTCACCCCACTGCAGGCCAGATCCTGGGGGACACTAATGTTGCATTGGGTGCATTGGTGCCCACCTCAGGTGGGGATCCTGGGCATGGAGGGCTGCAGTGCACCTGAGGATGGGCAGCAGGGCACCCCAACCCCAGCAGGGCACCCCAAACCCCAGCAGGGCACCTCTAACCCCATTGTAAGGTGCCCCAAACCCCAGCAGGGCACCCCAAACCCCAGCAGGGCACCCCTAACCCCGTTGTAAGGTGCCCCATCTCTGGTCCCGCAGAGCGGTCCCCGCACCGGCCCATCCTGCAGGCAGGGCTGCCCGCCAACAAGACAGTGGCCCTGGGCAGCAACGTGGAGTTTGTCTGCAAGGTCTACAGCGACCCTCAGCCCCACATCCAGTGGCTGAAGCACATTGAGGTGAACGGCAGCAAGATCGGCCCCGACAACCTGCCCTACGTGCAGATCCTGAAGGTAAAGCCACACGCTGGCTGGTGCCAGCCATGGCCCCCAGCTCCCCTGTGCCAGGGGCAGGAGCAGGGCACTGGCAGCCACGTGGATGCCCCACAAGAGTTACCTGGGGCTGGGCACCACAGGCCTTGGGGCAGCTGGAGCCCCAGAGCCAGCACCAGCCTGCTGGGCGGGGAGCAGGGAGGGCTGTCATGCCACACTGTGTGCTGGCTCTGCAGCCCCGGAGAGCCCCAAGGACACACAGCACAGGGCTGGGCAGGAGCAGGGTGCTGGAGCTGGGTGCTGGAGCTGGGAGCTGAGCCCTGGATCATCCCAGGGAGAGCAGCTCCCTCTGCACCCCAGCAGTGCCGCTCAGCACTGGCCCAGCTGTGGCAGGAGGTCAGACTGGGTGGCCTGTAAAGATCCCTTCCAATCCGCTCTGTGATTCCATGCAGCCATTCCCAGCTGTGTTCCTGACCCCTGGGAAGCAGGGGGGAGCAGGGTGACACCCGCATTCCTGTCTGCTCCTTCTGTATCCAGCTGTGGGTGTGGGGGAGCAGCCCCTGCCTGGCAGGGCGCCCTCGGGGCGGTTCCTGAGCACATCCGTGTGACTCCCTGTTGTTGGTCTGTTCCAGCACTCGGGGATTAATAGCTCTGATGCGGAGGTGCTGACCCTGTATAATGTGACAGAGGCGGAGAGCGGGGAGTATGTTTGTAAGGTTTCCAATTATATTGGCGAGGCCAACCAGTCTGCGTGGCTCACAGTCACCAGGCCCCTGGCCACAGGTAATCGGAAGAATGCCTGGCGGTGGAAAACAAAACTCTGGGCTCTCTTGTTTCTGCTGTGTTTCTGGTGCAACAACCATGGAAAAACACCCGGCGGGGCCAGCAGGGCGCTGCGCTCTGTGTGTGTGTCCCAGTGTCTCTGCTGTGTGCTGATGTCTCTGTCCTGCTGTCTGTCCTGTGTGCTGCCCTCCCATCGTGCAGACACCACAGCTGCCCTGCTGGGGCTGGCCCCTGGCTGTCTGAGGGTGCTGCCATCAGGCCATTCCAGGCACCCCACCTGGCACGGTGCTGCGTTCCCTGTCTGTGCTGCCCTCCCGTCACCATCCTCGCATCTCCGTCCTCCCGTCACCATCCTCCCGTCACCATCCTCGCATCTCCGTCCTCCCGTCACCATCCTCCCGTCACCATCCTCGCGTCTCCGTCCTCCCGTCACCATCCTCCCATCTCCGTCCTCCCGTCTCCATCCTCGCGTCTCCGTCCTGGCTCTGTCCTCCCATCCCCATTCTCTCATCTCCATCCTTGTGTCTCCATCCTCCCATCCCTGTCCTTGTGCCTCCCCTGCCAGCGAGCCAGCGGGCCGGCTCTGCCCGGGCTGATTTCTCCATGCAGCCCATCGCCAGCATGTTGGCATGGGCAGGACACTCCGTTTGGTGAAGGGTTTTAACCGGCGTCTCCCTCGGTCCACCGGGATGAGTGGTCATCCTGAGGGTCTCTCTAGCAGGTCTGCAGTGGTCTCTGTCTGCTCCCCGGGGGTCTGCCAAATGAGACTGGGCTCTCCCTCCTCTCTGGCCTCCTCCCAGAAGATCTCATGTCGTTTGCCTCTCCGTTTTTTGCTTCCATTTTTCCTTCCAGACGGCTGGCGTTAACACGACAGACAAAGAAATGGAAGTCCTTCACTTAAGGAATGTCTCATTTGAGGATGCTGGGGAGTATACATGTTTGGCGGGTAATTCTATTGGGATCTCCCATCACTCTGCATGGTTGACAGTTCTCGAAGGTATATACTCCTCTTCCTCTCCCTTTCTTCCTTCCTTTCCGCTGTATGCATCGTGGTCCGGGAGAGAGCAGTTCCCAGCCCCCTTGGAGCGGGTCAGCCTGGCTGCTGTGGCTGCTCTGCAGCTGGAGCAGTGTGGGGCAGCGTCCCCCCGGCTCTGTGCCCCCCTCCACCCCAGCTGGGGAGCTCTCTCTCCCTGGCCCAGGCAATGCATACCTGGGGAACTTAACCAGGGCTGGTTCCACCAGAGCAGGACGGTCCCGCACGGCTGGGCCAGGCCAGGCCAGGGCTGGGGGAGCAGGGGAGGTTTTGGGGTGCTGGCAGCGCTGCCCTCCTGCCTGCCAGGGCCTGGCCCTGTGGTGCAGGGCTGTCGGGGGCTGTATGTGCTTGCACTGTGGGGATGGCTGCCCCGTCCCCATGATGCTGCTCCTCAGCATCAGTGCGTGGACCAAAGCCTGATAACAGCTATGGGAAAGTTTTTGGGGTGCTGTGTGGTCGTTTTTGCTTTCCAGCTAAAACTTTCCCAGTTATCAGCCAGTGCTTTGTCAGCCGGGTGTGCTCAGAGGTGGGACAGGAATCTTCAGCTCCCTCTTGCACCTCTCTCTGAGGCTCTGCTCTTTGGGGGTGTCAGGCTGGGGGTACAGAAGGTGAAGTGGCAGCCCTGTCCTGCCGGATTCACCATGTACCACGGCACGTGGCTGCAGGCTCTGAGCTGATCGTGGTTCCAGCGCCACCTCAGCCACCAAAGCAGGGTCTGTGGGTCCCTTCTCCCCACCAGCTCAGGCTCCCACAGCAGCTCACTGCCACTGGAGTGCCGCTGGCTGCTCTGCTCCAGGCTCTCCCCAGTCATTACCAGTAAGGCCTGGAGTCCCACAGCCCCAGCTGCTGCCAGAGCCCCCATTCCATTGCACCGTGCACAGGGCAGCCCAGATTCTGAGGCACTTGCAGCTCCAAAGCAGGGGCAGAGCACTTCAGCTGGGACAGAGACCTGTTCCCAGAGGTGCTGCATCCCTGTGGGGTGGCTCTGGCCCTGTTCCCCCATTTCATGCCTGTCCCAGTTGACCCCCTCCCGCCCTGGGATGACCCATCCCACCGCCTGCAGAGGTGGCGAAGGCATTGCTTGGCCATGGGGATGATGAGCTGGGGCTGCTTGCACTCCTTCCCTGCAAGGGTGGGTGGGCAGCTGCCGGTCCCTGCTGCACCGACATCCCCATGAGCTTGGGGAGGAGCCCAGTGCCACTCCCTGGGGCCTGGCAGGTGCTGACAAACACCCTGTTCACGCCAACCCAGCTATTGAAGACACCCCAGCCATGATGACGTCTCCTTTCTACCTGGAGATCATCATCTACTGCATCGGAGCCTTCCTCATCTCCTGCATGGTGGTGACCATCATCATCTACAAGCTGAAGAGCACCACCAAGAAGACAGACTTCAACAGCCAGCTGGCCGTGCACAAGCTGGCCAAGAGCATCCCCCTGCGCAGACAGGTAACAGAAAGTAGAGAGGGGGTTTGTTTGCACCTACTGCCCCTCCTGGAGCCCGGCCTTTCCGAGGGGATGTGGGGGAGGAGGGGTTGCAGGACCCAGGATGGTCTCAGCTTGCTCCGTGTGCCACCCGCTCCAGCCTGTGCCCGCCGGTGGCAGGGGTGGGACTGTGCAGGCTGTGCCTCCAATGGCAGCACAGTGAGCAGGGTGGGGGGCTGCACAGTTCCCCTCACCCCTCCCCAGGGGGCTTACGAGGAGAACCAGCAGGATTTACAACAGTGTGAGGTTTGAGCAGAGCGTGGTGCACTCTGAGGAGATGGAGGAGCTCCCAGGCTGTGCGTTTCGGGCTGCAGCACGATGGAGGCTAATGGAAAAATCCACGGGAGGGAGCAGCAGTGGCGGGCACATGGGCAGGGGAGTGGGCAGAGGGGTGGGCAGGGGGCTGCGGCACACAGGCAGGGGGCTGCAGGCAGGGGAGTGGGCAGGGG